ACTCCGTGGCTTTGCAAAAACGTATTGCCGTCTCCTTCTAATGAACGAAGTTGAAAGCGTCAGAGAGTCCATTTAAGGTTTTACGTCCGAACGGAAAACATTTTGCACAAAATGAAGCTAGATGCGGATGAATAATTGTTTTCGTCAAAAATAGGTCAGGTTGTGTGTGTACATTAAATTTGAGCTTGCAAAAAGTGGTGGGGCTTAACTTTTCGCACATGCTCCTCTTGCGTTAGTTGCGGGGCTTAGCTGGAAAAGATATTGATTTCTCTTAATATCCTGAATTCAGTTTTTACACAATGAACCCAGCTAGTTTTAATAGCAGTATTAACTCACCCACTGTTATACTGTTGTGATCTGTAGCGGTCACACACTAGGTCACGCGTGACTAACACTCAAACCACGTGACAATTCCTGTCCTACTTGCAACCTTAGCTGACAACAACAACTACGCTACAACTTTCCATTAATTTTTGTTTACGCGGCGACAACCTGGGTCACGCGCCAGGCTTATAAACTTCAACCATCATCAGGTCAAGTTGTTCGTGCAATCATCAAACACGAATGGACCATTTTTTCACACTGTACGCGATGAATGGCCATGCAACTCGGCCCAAACACACGTTCACACGCGCAGGACAAGTCAACCAAACTCTGCAAACCCTCGGACAAATAAGCGACAGATTTAGCAGCTACACTGCAGAGAAGATAACTCCCTCGTCCGGACCCCCACGAGTCATCCACAATCGACACTTCACCTTCCCACTTATTCCATTAATCGCAGTGTATTTATTTTATCATGGTGCAACTAGTAACTGTAAACTACTATCTACCATACTAAAAAACTGTTATTAGTGCATATATCTTCTGAGTTCAACATGACGGTTGGCTGTTTCTACTACGTTTATCTGTACTTCATTCGCATTGTTACGCGCACACGCTTCGTCATGGTGATTTCACCAGTACGAGGGAAAACGCCAACTTTCATTACATCAAAACACAATGCTATGCCGCGTCTGTTCACCTTCCATCATTTTGGCACCACTTTTTGTATCCGTTCGCCGACCAATCGGTATTTCAGCAAAGCGCTGCCAAGTTTTTTTTACGCACCAATAACGGTTTACAGTGGTTTACAATGGCGAGTTCCACCAACTATAAAATAAATGCAATGCGAATGGTGGAGTAAGTCAAAAGGGGAAGTTATCGTTTGTGAGAGTTTCCTGGTGAACTACTGCGCGGGGAACGTGTTTCTCCCTCCGTATAAGTGCTACACTGTTGCGTAATTGTACGTGAACTTGTGGAGTTTGGTTAGAGTTTTCTGTTCATGGACAAAAACTTGTCTACACTGTCAGCGTTCAGAGATACTTCGTCAAACTTATTTACACATTGGTACTTTTTGCACTTCGAACTACTGATGCGACCATGTTCACCCTGATGTTGTTGGACTTCCCCACCTACAACTTTAGTACACCGTTTTACCTTGTATTTGGCTGCGTTGACCTTTTGAGCGTTCCGTTCGGTGACTCCAGCGTTGCTTTGCTTAGAACAAATCTTAAGCCTGTTATTTCCGTTTCAGGCAAAAGTCATCAATATATGTTACGGGGTGCGTGACTTAAACGAGTGTGATTTGAATAGATTGTGCGCGTCTCGTTAAATTTTCTGGTGAGATTTAGGTAAATGAAAGCAAATTCAGTGTGGATAAAATTAAACCGTTGTCTGCAACCTGTATACCAGATAAACCGCGGTGATAACTCAGAAGGACACCGAGAATCTGTGCGCTCGATGACCAGCTTACCTCCAGTGTTCAGTCAGACACCACAGCACATGACTACAAGAGATATCAAGTTACCTCCACCTCAGTCAACGAAATCCACCAAGCAAGACACAGCGTCGCTTCTCCATTCCAGTGACGCGAAGCGGCAAATCGATCCAGCCGGTAACCTTGACAACAATTCTTTGAACCGAATGAACATGGAATCAATGCAAATCGAGGAATTGGACAGCCTGGACGTCGGAGATCTAAGTACTGGTGATGCTGAACAGATTCCATCCAGGTATTGTAAAAAGTCGACCAAAGAGAACCAGTACAAACTGGAACGGGTGGAGAACGGTTACCAACCAAAAAGTCAAAAGCCTACACCACGAGGTAGCCTTGCATCCGAGTCGAAGCCAAGTCCACTATGTGCAGGTAGCATAAGCAATCCGCTAACTCCTATGTTTCGAGTGGAAGAAGGATGTGGTCGGCCACCTCCGGTTGTGGATGCCCTCTACACATCACCATCAAAGGACCATCCTTCAGCAGTAAGTGCACTTCTATTATTTTTCCAGTATGATGTACGACTGCAGCAAGGTACTTTTACTCACTCTGCCAACGTTTCCGGTAAAAGCTGCAAGTTACCGGTTAGAAAGTACTTGTGGTAGTCGCTCTCAGCTACAGGTTCAGGAAGTGAGCCGAACACTTGAATGGACACAGTGCATGCAGTCACGCTTTCAACGTACCTTGTTTCTTCGCTTGTCACCGACAGAATTAAGCTTAACTTTTCCTCTCCCAGAAATAGTGTATGAGCAGAGAAATTTATCACAGGAGTGTGCATGTGTATGGTGTGGGTGTGTGCGGTGCATGCATGTGCGGTGTGGAACATTAGCAGAACGAATCAGAATGAATCCACTGATGCAGATTTACCTCACATTTCACAGGCTAGAAGCTGCATTCACTAGATTAGAGCTAAACTCGAATCCAGTGCTTCCCTTTGGTGTGGACTCACCGGAATAATTACACCAGAACGGCATACGACCGTTCAAACGAGTGGTGTGATTATGAACAAAAATTATCGGAATAGGCAGGCTAAGAGTGGAGGAGATCAGACAATTTAATCATGGCTTAGACAAGCAAACAAACCCTATTGTGAGACCAAACTCTATCCGCTCTCAAGCGGTGCATTGAGGTCAGCCACATTTTTGTGTCATAAACATTGTTTTATTTAAGCAACGTTTTGTAATTTCCGCAAGCTTTTGCTCCTTTTATAGAATTTGGTCACAGCGCCATTACCGATGTGCATAACTAGAGGGAGCGAGTAGCGAGTGAGAGGTCACCCGTAATTTACCTTTGATGTATCTGATCGTATCTTTCGCTGCGTGAGGTGTAGTTTGACAAACCGTCAAAGGCGATTTTTTGGACATTATATTTACCCCCTACTGGCACCTGAGCATTGAATGAGCCGTGCTTGAGCAAGGAATAGGCAATAATTGAAATTCACCTTCAGCATACTGCCATTTTTGCTCAGTTTGAACTCACTCATGTGGCTCTGGTATCGCATCACACTTTCGTGCATGTCCATTAGTTTGGCTCCCTCGAGTGTACTTTAATTTACATTAGCGGCTTGTCTCTAACACCAGATTCACTTTTTCTCACACCGTTATCGTGCGTGTCAGACAGTGTTGACCACCAGATCCATATTAGCTGCAGAACATCATATTTTGCTGCCTTTTAGTATGGCGAGTTGAACATTTATTTATTTACTTCATTTTCATAGCAATAATGTGTGTCCGAGCTCCGGAAAACTCATCAACTATGGGTTTTCACATCATTGATTTCACATCATTTTAGACGAGTTCCGCTGAAATCCGTCCTTTGGATCCCCATCCGTTCTCCTCCTACTTGACGTTGGCATCTTCATCGAAGCGGCCGTCACCTTTTGCCCGTATCTTCACTCCGAGTATCAACAAACTCCATCCACACGACCCAGGTCAACGGACCGGCAAATAAAGACCGAGAATAAACGAGTTCACATGTGCCTTAAAACTATCCCGGTTCCCATCTGTTCTGTGCTCGACTCTACTCACGCGATGACTCTCCATGCGATGACTGACATCAACAGAGTTACTGGATGACCAGACGAATCTCACCCAATTGCCTAAATATTATTCTTTGAAGGCGATTTTCGCGCGTCACTTAATCCAGTTAAGTGTAATCTTTATCATAACACCAAATTGTAAAGAGCAATATTCCCCATCCGCTTTATGCAAACAGTGCATAAATTTGAACAGAGTCTAATTGTACACAGCAGGTGGTATTTTTCATTGGCAACGGGTATAAGTAGAGTGTACAAATCTTCCCGTGTCACTCATGCAGCGGTGGATTGAATCTTTGGTAATTTTGTGTTCTGAAGTCCGAGTACCCCCCGACAATTTAGCCATGAAGGTTTCATTAGAATGATGTAACCAGTGATCCACGCCCAATTTTAGTAGTCGGCCACCGTAGCACAGAAAACATGAAATCTTACATGGTTATGGTGAATGTTACTGAAGAAAATTAAACTTCGAAATGCATACAACTAGGGTGAAGCTGGATAAATTTGGTATTTGGGAGAAAGCCGTTGCTCAGTGGTAAAGGAAGTCTATAAATGGCTCATTGGTTAGTACGCTTGATTAGCTGCGCACCAACTTCTGGAACTCACCCAGATCAGCGAGAATCCACCAGAAATTCCGCTTGGTCTCGAACTTCGACACTTATACAAAGTTACTGCTTTCCCTCAGCGCTTTCCATGCATATGGTATCATGTTTTACTCAGCTTTTCATCGGCTATCTCAGATTATTTGAAGTTACATTTTTAGTGCCAGTTAAGCTGGCAATATTATCTCACCAATGTGTAGCGCGGCGGATCAACACATCAGTGAGTGCCACTGAGCACTTATGAGCACGCTTATATGAATGACTGTTCGCGACTGTCCTATGAGTGTTTGCTTGGCGGGCGAAAACACTGGTTCGTCGTCAGACTGTGTTCTAACTGAATGAAGTTCACGTGAATTTTGTGCCAGGTTTCCCAAGTTACATTGATTAGCATGTGCTCATATGTGACCCGTCTTCACATTGGGTGCTCCGGACATTCTCGGATGGTGCTACCCGTGATGGCTTTGGGGGATCACATACATAGATAAAGCAGCAGCGTGTTCCACTTTGTATGCTTTCGCAGTGCATAACTGTCCCTTACGGTGTGAAAATTCAAGCCTCTACAGGCCGATTATTATACAACCAACTTCAATAGCTGCCTCATCTCCAATCGCGGTGGCACCGCAGAAGAGCCTGTCACCCCTCCCATAGTTTGACGGGGTACTTCTTGAACTGCTTGATCTGCACGGCGAGACAACAGTGAGCAATTTCGCAGTCCGCAACGCAGAACTAAGTACGAGAAGTTTAATGCCATCTGGTTGCCCCGTTGACGGCAGAATAACTTCAATGTGTGCCATACATGTATCGGCACTACATTAATTATAACTGCAGATTAAATACAATGATGGCTATGTACCCATGGTTGCTTGGTTTACTGTTGTTGCGCCTGAGTGAGCATTATCAAAATTAATGAATTAGCCTTTTACTGTTTAGCACAGACTTTCGCAAAAACTAAAAATCTCAAGACGTACAGAGTACGTCTCACGCTGATGCGATTTATTTCATAGCTAACACATGAATATGGAGTTTGGCAAACGTATTGCCGCCAGCATTTGTCACTATTGGCGACTAGATTCAAGTGTAGCAATTGAACTGCTTCAGAGCACATAAATAACCCAGCTTTTAGGCTGTTCAGAGAGGGATCTCAGCTAGACAATGAACAAAAGATGGCAGCTGGTAGGAGATTTTTTCCTATTTTAAATCGTCACTCCTGACACCACACGTATGAACACATCAAAGAAGACCGATGAACAAACGCTTTCAAATGCAAATGGCTCAACTTGAAGACGCGCAGTTTGCTCATTCAAATCAAAAAAGCCTTGGGCATCTGAAGCCGAAATTTCAGCGTGCAAGTTTCATCGTCATCGACAGCATGACATCAGTGTTCAACACCGATGCTTCACTGCCGTACGACCGTGATTTATTTGAAAGCCTTATTGTAAAGAAAAGAGTAAAGGTGGACGAGGAAGGGACTTAGTGTTAGCTTACCACAATCATTCCGAGGTGCCTACACCCCCAGACATTCACTCAGGTGATCTGGATAGAAACTGAAAACAAGAACGCCACTGACATCGGTTGTCAAGTTTATAAAGGCGTCGTGCATAGGCGGCAAAGCGATTGACCCCAGGTTAAAGTAATCCACCTCGCTTATAAACCAATGCAGGCTTGATACTGCAAGACCAGAAGCAGATCAGTCGAGCAGAAGGGTAAACTTAACTAGAAACATGGAATTCGCAGTATGTGAAAAACCTGACGGATAATGATTTACATTTCGAACACATGTATAAGGCAGGCGCTGCCTCGTTCAGTGGGTGCTGAAAGGAATGGAGGACTACGAGAATTCTTCTGGTGAATTTCTGATACCCAAATGTTTGTTTCCGAAGAATTCAAACACGACATTTTTGGGATTATACGGCACAAAATCAAGGAACACGTTGATTTAAAGACGAGGAAACAATGTTCCCCTTCGGGTTTCGGAGAAAAATCAAGTTAAGTCCTGGCGGATATAAGGAATAATATAACTTTGTAAAACTGGAAAAGCAGTATAAAGCCTTCTCAGCCTCGCAGTCTAGAAGATTCTAAAAGCACACAATATCAATAGACGTCGCTTTATCCTGCTACGCAGGCTACAGAAATCTGTGTCGGTTATGAAGACGTCAGAACACTTCTTGTCCCTTTCTGGTATGAAGGAAGTTGCAGTGTTATTTGTGGATTGTCTATGTTGAGGGATTGGGTGTCGAAGAGGCGAGCGATAAGGCATAACACCTCTAAATTTTAAAGTGTATCCATTGTCAGCTTTGGATAAGACCATGAAGGAAAAATCATCATCCCTTTACATCTTGGGAGGCCCTGCGTGGGCACACTGCGCTACTAGTCATCTGCTACTGGAAAATATATACGTGAATAAATCTCCAGCAAGGAACCTGGTTGGTATCATGTTTTATCTGCACTGGCCGCATTAAAATTCCACTGATAAGATCAGCAACAGGTTCATCCCGATTTCCTTCAACCAGCTTAATTCCTTGTTTGTGCCTAATTATTGTTTCCTTTCCCAGCTAATTGGATAATTTTAACGGTAATTAGGTAATGAAAATACGATGACTTCAGCTTATCGCTAGTTTGAGTCCCCTAGGACTATGATTCCCGCACACCAGATTTCATGAATTTGGTTCATTGTAACAGTGTTTGCAGCCAATCGGTCACGCGGTTACTAAAGCATGATCAATTGTTAACCGTTTCCTCATGGGACAGCTGCGTATAAGAAATGCCCATACCATTTGAAAGCACTTTCCTGTGGTTACATTGCATCGGTTACAGACTTTGCTTTTTCGTCGAGAAATTCCACTTCTCTGTGTTGGTAATGCCTGCTTTCTTGTCCTATTTCTCAAACGCATGTCAGACAAACGCTTCCAGCTCAAACGATTACTGTGGCAACCAGGATAGAATTCCTTTCCTGGAACGCCTAATGAGTACACCACAGCCGTCATATGACAAAAGTTTATATCGGTCACTCCATACAATGTGCACTATTTTTGTTTGTCCGTGTGATATTCGTGTAATCCTGCGTTACTGTATGAAAGAAGTATTTTTAAAAATGGTAGCACTATACTCAATACCTCAAGTGATCAATTGGTGTGCAGGAAAGCAACACGGGCTAACAGTATAAGACAAGGCATTAGGATCGTATTACATCCATATTATATGACAAAAAAAATGATAAAGGAGAACGCAAGGCGCAAACCATAGATAATCAGTGAATAAACAGACGTCCACTGCAGGGAGATATCCCCGAAAACGGTTATATAAATTAGTTTTGCCCCCGTTAAGTTTTGGTACTTGGTAGTTTCGGCGGTAGCTGCTCCATTGTCCACAGAGGCTTTCGGCCGTCGCTTTCATGGCACTTCAGCTGTAAAATGTGGTATTTGGAACAAACAATACGATGGACAAATGCGCATGAAATTGACTGGAAAATCTATCATCTTTGATATGGTTTGTGAAATTTCAATATATACTATTGATGACGGCTATGGTTCCCGAAAGGAGCTTCATAAAGAATGCGGTTTATTTTTACTACTTGATACATACTTAACAAGTAAAATAATTAAATGCTGTAATAGGCTACATTTAGGTCAAAGGATGATATTGTTTATAGCAAGCTCCTGTAAATGTGTGGAACCGTGAAGTAAGACAACTACAGAGCCAGTAGGGTGTGTGAAGCTAACTTGGCCCAGAAAACAAATAAAATCCAAGCGTTTCAATTATCTTCTACCATGAGATCTCTCTACAGCAAATACCAGCAACCGGTTAACAGGTTCAGCCCTAGGGGACTGACGCGGGAAAACGCCTTAAAACGTTGCTTATATCCGTGAAACAGCCATACTGATCGGTTTGTGCAGAAGGGTGAAAATGGAGTGGTTGCCTCAAGGTCAAATCTGGTCTGTCCGCTGGTATCACTGGGGTGGAAACTTAACTCACTCAATGGTTTCATCAAAAACGGAAGAGCTCAGTTGACCGGTGTGGTCACCTGGAATGTCAATTTTAATTTTAATTGATATCACCAACGTAAATGGAACTCGCCGTTTACGCCTAAGATGCTCGGATTTTACGGTAGTCTCCCATGTTTTGCTCTGTTACTTTATCGCTTCGTGCCTCACTCCAATATTTAATATCTCCAGGGATGAAAAAACTAGCTAACATTATTTCTAAGCATTATTTCAAAAGCATTATTTCTAAAATTGACATACCAAATGAAATCTGGCTGCAGCATCTTTTGTCAGAGCTTACCTTCTCTAACGTGTGCGTAAGCGACGTAAGTTGTGTTGTCACATCAAGAAGTATGCTTCCAACTTTGTCCACACTATCAATTATTCGAATACTTTCGGTGTAGGGCTCATAGATGACATCGAATGGACGTCTGATAGTTTTTGCGAATTTTCTGAAAGGAAGAACAACAATTTTACGATCGTGTGGCTTCTACTGTTCGCTTGTTGGTTACTAACTCACCTCTATGTCTCCTGTTGTGCATGGAATAGTAAGGATGGTTCATGGATCAACATTCCAGGTGTAACAAACAAGCGGTTTAAGAGGCTCTCAGGCGATCTCGCCCCAGATTCTCTGACTGAGATTTTGCAGTCAGGTTCAAAAGCTTCTAACAGGAAACCTGCTGCGATATAACGAAGTCTGAAGGGTAAATTATAGTCCATATGACTAATCAGTTCCAATGCATCTACGCCGCGGCCTCCTACTGTCCCAACGAGTGAAATTAGCACACGGATATGTGCCATCCTGCTATACCTAGGAGCTTAAAGAATAATGGATTGAGCAGTTTCAAGAGTTTGCTTCCTTCAGAAAGCGAATCGCAGTTTGCTTCATTTCATCCTTAGCTCCAGTTTCTAGTTCGACAATACCTAATGGGATGATTTCTGTAACCCGTAACAAAAGGAAACACTCTCGAAAAACGAGCATAACCAAACCATTTCACGGTAAACTTTATTTTACGAGCTCTTGAGTGATAGTTCCTAATGGCACTTTCGCGACAGGCTCAGTGTAGAAACATTCAAAAGGGGACACTGCCTAACAAACGACTTAAAAATGAGACCTGCTTAAGCTAAATTTTGGAAAGTAAGAATGTATCCACGAAATCAATGGTTGCCTGTGAGTTGGACAAGATTTCTAAGCTACGTCGCTATAAGACACCTATGCAGTTAGCCAGTGAAATAAAGTGACGCCTAATGTCAGACTGTAACGGAACAGGTCAGTACCCTCTGGGTTGAGTATCCTAATGAACGACAAATATCACTGCTAACACTCCATTGGAAAATCTTCCAGAGGTTTGAGCCTCTTGAGATATTCTGCCTAACTGGTTTACTTTGGGTGGTGGGTATGGAGGTGCAGTTTCGGAAATGAAATTACGAATATTTGGCCGTTTATCTAAGGGATTTGTTTGGGTGGCTTCGTGTCAACAACAAAAAGCTTTTCTGCTGAATTGGATGGATAAAATAAACTGTTCTCCTTGCGTTGTTGTCTAATAATTTGAAGCCAGCACATTTATCAATTAGAGGAAGTTAAATGAAGTTAAATGAGGATAGCTCGTCTACCAATGTAGCCTCATATAATGAACACAATCACACTTGTCTCGTTACTGGTCGGAGAGACTCACAATACTTAAGGCACTTCAAAATGACTTACTGAAACAAACAAACAATCCAGGTTCCCAATAATCAGACCAAAACCAGTTTGCTACACTGGGTCACATGGGAAGTGAACGAGTTACTGGTCGTAACGGGTTGTTTTTCAACGCCAGAGAAATAGGATTCCACCCAATTCACTTTGGCGTGTGAAGTTTGAGCTTGCGTACTGAGAGTAAACGTTGCGCACTGGGTGTAGTTCCATGTCCAAACGGTCAGTATTTCACAGTGGTACTCGGCTTTCTACTTACCTGAGGGTGGGAAACATCCCCTTGGGTCCGTTTTCAGCATACATGCGTGAGTCTGATTTGTTCCCATGGGATAGTCAGTTTGTGCATGGTCTACCTTGGCTACACAGGGGTTCCCCGTACATGTTATTTTAGGCTAGTCACTCACAGCTAGTTTTTATCGAAAAGGCGTTTGAGCTCTCGTTCTGGGATTTGTATTGGTTTACCGCATGAATCACCAAATAGATATCGCTGCTGCTTGGGGGCACCAGGTTGTGGTGACACAATTCGATCCAGTATACCGGTTAGGGAGTATTTTACTCAGGCCAAAAAACACAAAGACATCAAGTCCAGTTTCCCTTCCTCGACAAACTAAGTAATAGAGTCCTTCGTCGTTATTCTGACCCGTGGCAAATTCGAGTACCACTGGGAAGGATCAGTCGAGGGTTTCTAATATTTACGTTCAAAGTTCGCCGGCTTAAAAGAGTTCAGGTATCGATCGTTAATAATTTCAGCTGTCAGTCAGGCAATTTCATGTTTCATCCGCATTCGAGGGTGCTGCCTATCCAGATGGTTCCTATAACGACTTATTGCGAGCCACAACCTCTACTAGTGAAGGTAAGAAGGCCTTTGCTGCGGAGTTATTTATTAAAAAATGCCAACGGAGCAGTTACAGACTATTGGACAGCGAAACGAAACTCTCATATGCATCTTGTCTACAAAAACTGAATACCCTTCTTCACTTTGAACGCGTCTTTCTGAACTTTCCTGTCATTCAATCGCAAGCAAGTGCTACAAAGCGACTCCACAAATTCCGAAACAGATCTCACTTTCCAAGAGATGGAAATCGGATTCATAGGAAAACATACTATTCGCATGCCTCCCCATCAGTAGTATCACTGGTGCACTAGTTGACTGGAATCTACGGCAATGCAACGCGTCAAAGCAAACAGTAATACGTTATTTAGCGGACGTTTTCCCCCTAATTCGCTGAGTAGGGCGTAATCCTGTTCGTGCAGCCTGACACTAGCCCAAGTAAAATGATAAATACTTTCAGAATAATCTATCAAACTCCGGCAACTCACCTCATTTTCTCCGTCGCATCCTCAAATGATGGCGTCTCAAAGTACCCCCTCTGAAACGTGGTTACCAAACACTCCTCACGCATTACTTCCTCAGGCACGAAAGGTTTGATTGTTGCCTCTCCACTAAGTGCGTGCTAAGGGTAAATAAACAGTCATAAGCGCTCACTTGTGAGGACATCAAATTTGTTAGGCAATCACCACAACTGCACGCAAATGCAGAAGAAACGTAGTGAAAAGCGTCGTACCTAATGATAGGTCGATAGGTTAACATTAGGTGCTTGTCGATGTAGACATGGGTCCAAGTTAATAGGATCTAACAGTGCTCCACGCTCTCTCTGCTTTTCGCATTGACTCTAATCTACCACTTTCGTGTTAGATATAGCCTCCGCGGGGATATTACTCCCCCTCTCCCTAGAATCCACAACTCGCTCTTAATCAGGAAAACGTTTTTTAGGGGACCGAATGGAACCGGTCGCTTTTTAGGGAAGTTGACACTTGAGGCCAAATTCTCTTCCGAAATAATACTGATTTCGCAGGTCTAAAAGTTGCATACAAGCAAAACCATCAACTAAACTGATTGGAAACNCATGTAACCATGGAAAGAGTGAAAAGCGTTCAATTTAACGACCAAATGAGCAACTGAAATAAACACAAATAAGCCTAGTTCGGGCTAATCTTGGAACTAAAAGTTGTGTATTTAACATTGAGCACACAGCTAGCCTACGGATGATTTCACTTTTGTAACAATTTGTCATCTAGAAGACCATATGGCACTACACAAATAGGGTTAAATCGCAAGGAGAGCTGATCTGGCCAATATGCCCACCCCACATCCCGATGTAATAGCACGAGATAGAAGGGAAGCCTGTCGAACAGGATTCAAACGATTCGTAAGCTCGACAATTCTAAACGGAACTAAATTTACCTGCGGGCGGCCAACAATGTGCAATGCTGATGAGCTCTAACAAAAAGTCAACTCGGGTCCACATCTTCCCCCAACTCTTGATGGAAACATGCCGAAATAATTGAACCAAGGCAGAAGTAGGACTGTTCAAAATATAGTAATGTGAATTTCATAAACCGTTAGACCACTCAATACTGATGGAAGTTTTACTACTTATGGTCAACTGAGGATATCTAAACGGTCTATTGAAATGAGGTTTGGAGCTTGGGAGCTGACCGATTAATTGGCCTGCAGAAAACCTTTCAGTGACCCTTAATTGTCAAATAAACAGGTCTTTTTGGGGAAATGACACGTCAAGAAGCTGTAATCATTATCTTGCTCACTCCTTGTATACGTAACCGAGGAGCATATGTGTTCTGAGCATATAAGGGCCGTGGTGACGACGTTGTATGCTTTTCGCACGCTTTTTTCGATATTGCAAGTGGCTACAAGAGCCCTTCTTTCGTCCCTACCACTGTTTTGGAAAATTAAATTTATCACATCAGATATTCTGGAACTAGGTTTTACCGTCCCCATGTAAAAAATTGATAGTTCCCTCCTGTCCATTCCGACGTTTCTGTCCACAAACTGAATCCATTGCACCGGGAGAAGAAGCTCATTAGGACTTACTTCTGATTTCGTCAAACTGTACAGAGGTTCCAAACATTGTGCGTGAGTTACAGAAAATAAGTCAACGGAACTTGGTTTGATATGTGTATTACCTGGTTTTGAAGCATCAGAATCTCGTTGAACGGAAAAACGGACAAGTAAATCGTTTGGGCTTGAAAGATTTGGCGTTAAGGTGAGGCACAGGCTTCTTCTAAAAAATCGAGGTCTCCAGCTATTGTAACCAGGTCACAGGGTCAAGTTTGGAAACAGAGCGTAATCTTTGTGAGTAGTGTTTGTCGGATCTAACGTGAAACATTCGAGGTTGTACACTTATTAAAACCATGAATCCTGTTATTAAACCGAACACTTTGCAAATAAGAAAGAATCATGCAAATTATTCAAATCATTGCACTGAGCCCCTGTCGTGACAAACGTACCTTGAGTTCAGCAATAGACGAGAGTAGACCTGCACCGAACGCACGAAGTTTTCCGTTTTGGCGGCACAGACCAAATTCGATACTGAAAAAGTAACACTGTGAAACAAAACATAAATTAGTTTTGGAAATGACGATCCAAAGTGTGTATGCATTGTAAATTTACGCACGAAATCGTATGATGGATTTGTTTATTCTATAAAATGAACTTGAAAAAACATCAGATTGCCTGAATCGGTACATAAGAAGTCAACTCAATCTGGGTTTTCCCCAACAAAATTTGTTTATTCCGCCGTGAAACAAAATGATGTTCAATGTTTTTTTTCAGTCTTCACAAAAACTTGCATTAAAGTAACGTTACACGCACGATAATAGAAACAAAACGCGTCTTATCTTTCGTCTTGGGACAGCAGGAAATTTTCAATGTGGTGTTGTGTGTTTTGTTCCCCTCTCTATTTTCAGGCTAGAAGATATCGCTGTGATGTTTCTACAATTGACGACGCTATTTGTTCCCATTCATACTTCTTGAGCTTGGCGACACAGACAGTCCAAATATGAGTAGTAGGTTGGCATTATTCCTAACTTTCTTCCTTTACTTTGGGCCCCAAATCAACTGCTGTGACTGTAACTATTTAAATTGTCGTTGGTTATTGATTGCGCGTGATGGTATGCAATCGTGTGAGTGGATGTACTTGGTAGGCATGGGAGACTGCTGACAAGTTTGAAGGGAAAAAATAAGTATCCGTTAATAAATACTAACCCTCCAGAATACAAAAAGTATTATGTGGTCCTCAGATTACTAGCTAGCAGCAGAGAAGGGGCAGACTATCCTATTAACTTGTAAACCCCGAGCAAGTGAGCCCACCGCCAACAGAGTTGGTTTTTCCTCTATCCCACAGTGTGGCTCAAAATAGTGACACACAGAGTAGGCCAAAAGCTGGATAGTGTTGGTTCCTTTATGTCGAAGGACCATATGTCACCCTGATTTGGGGCAATCTAGCACACCGGTATCCCACAAAATTAGGCGATAACTTGTTGATGGGATGGACTCGTCTAACCCCAGAAGGGAAGGTGCACTTGAATTACTTCATTGGGCATATCTACTGGCAGAAAACTGCGTAATTAATCTAAAACCATGGAGCTTAACACATAAACTGCACAAATATTTAATTTGTGTCATTCGGTGAATATTTAAATGGATTTCCCTCATTTACGAATTCAGGGTTAAGGACCAAATCAGTCTTGTGGGACTAACGTGGCTCGGACAGAAGACACAAAGCCAACTGTTACTTCAGACTCATAGATTAAATGGAAATCACTTGTTTCTGAAAAGCATAGTGGCACCACATGCTTACACTTCGAAGTGAACAATTCTATAAGAGTGTAGTACGAACAAACCTTACCTATCCGCAGTTTAGTAGAAGCTAACTGATATATTCTGCTGCCTGCCACCGACCATTTACTAGGAGTGTACTACTCGCTTATCTATAATGTGGATCTGTAAAGTGAACTATTTAAATTACGTACGAACTTCCACAAACAAGATCAGTATTTTTTCTGCTAACAAGTCAAATATGGCACGGATAAATAATAGGTAGTTCTCGGGAAATACACTCAAATCAGTTTGATTTTCCCTCGTGAAAACAGTCCAATATGTCTCCAAGTAGAACATAAACTTGACGGAAACTCGGGGACTGCGCCTACCTGATGAGTCCCAGGAAGAGCGAACCTGGTCGTGGGCTGTTGAAGAGTTTTCAGCAACCCTGTAAGTACCTTTCATTATGAAAATAGGTGGTTCTGTTGTTCAGTAGGATCAACACAGATGTACTGTTAATGCGGTCGCATCCATATCAGTATATCTCTCTTTTGGACTTGTTGAATCTCCGAAACTGTTGCGTGCATGAACAGATTAGGAGCACTTGGAAATCAGCTTATTATTACTTTAAAATTTCATGCCTTGCAAGTTCAAACTGAACTGAATTCACACTGGTGATAGACAACCTATTTCGTTTCAGCCACTGTGTTTTCCGGCTAAGGCCATGCAATCCACGTATATTGGATTTGAGGTCTGACTGTAACACCAAATTTTTCAGCGTTCCCACATAAATATTCATTTCCGCCTTCTTGCTCGTGTGCTGATTTCTTTTAGTGCACACAGTGTACCGAAATCGAAATACCGGAACCAGAATACAACTGCTCAATGGAGAATTGCAAAGGCATGGGCTGAAAATCTTACAAATATACAGACGTTTCACGTGAATTTATTCACTACTTCAGCGCCAGACGCGAGGTATAAGAGATCCACTAAAAATTAAATTGGATTATGTTGGAACTCACACAAAAGACATTTCATCTCAAATTGTTTTACTTAATTCAACTGAAATCTGAATGGTGTTTTTGGAATTTCAAGTAATTCGGAGTGTTATGAGACAATGCTCGATATCTGGCTGGTGGACTGCGGTATAGCTGGGAAATCAAAGTCGGATTGAGCAGATTGCCAAACGTGTTCTGATCACAGCTCGCACTTTTTGGAGCGAGTGAATGCAGATTTGTGCAATATCGAGAAATTCAAAAAACTCATGTCATTATTCATCGGTGAGGGTGCCAATTAATACATTCACGTCAACAACTTACATTTTTATTAATGTTTCTACCGTGGAACTCGGTTTCACGCTGTTGGAGCAAAACAAAACTCTATTGGATACACATATACTTACCGTCGCCAATTTCAAGACTTCCTCATCTGACGTCCCCAAAGAGGCCAAACCCATTTCGTGTGAGAACTGAGCAAAAGCCGGATCCGCAAGAAGTGGCATGTGGCCAAGCAGTTCGTGACAGCAATCACTGAAATTAATAAATCGAGAGGAGTGTTTGGTATCGAGGCAAAATTTAATTTTGTCTCATACGTTGCTGTTTGCAACTTGCCCCATATTTGTATGTACATATTTCGCAAAAGGTGAAATTCTCCCGGCATTTTGTGGTTCACGACGATCAAGGCAACACACAGGTTAAAGATTAGTTACTTTAATTCGATTTAGACTGACAAAACTGACTAAGAAACACAATACAAGTCAAAGTGAAGGAACCCAGTGCATATGACAGAAGGATCTAACACAGTCTTCGCGTACGTAGGTATCACCCGTCGGGTCACAGAAATTAGTGTGATTAAAGTTGACCAAGCCACTTTGCTATATTCTTCACCACTAATCCATCTTGTATTAAATAGGATGACTACATAAACTGTGTTCGACACTAACGCAATACATTTAACTGGCGCATTTTCAAAAGGGCGAAATGATCCTTCAATAAACTCACGGCTCAGGAGTGTACATGGGGTCCTTCCAGTGCCTGATATACTGTGTGCAGTAGAACACGCGGAACGCCAGTCCAGATAGGAAGTCTCTAGCAGACAAGTATCCAGCAACCGGTCTTAAAGTGAATCCGGTCCGCGCTGGTAACCAATAAATACACGGTGGTTAAACAGTGAAAGTTGGATATGGTTGACATACATGAAGCTGCACTGGGTGGTACGACTTTCATTCCGATAAACACGGTGCAGCCACTCAGCATAGATTGGAAATATCATAAGATCTGCCTGGTATATTTAACCATGAATGTCTTGATGTACAAGTGATCAAAATAACTTTGGTGCATTACTGGTGAAAGGAAGAAGGCCTTTTCTGAGGAGCATTTGTTATGAAATGCTAACTGACGAGTTGCAGACTATTAGACAGGGAAGCAAAACTGTCATTTGCATCTTATTTACAAAAAATGAACATCCATCTTCTCCTGAACGGGTCTTCTTGAACCTTTCTGGATATTCATTGACTCAAATCATTCATTCCTCAAATCCTGCCAAATGCCACAGAGCGACTCCACAAATTCTGCAACAAATCTGCCTTTTCAAGAGACGTTCCAAGAAGAAAACATACTACTCGCAAGCCTCCCCGTCAGTAGTATCACCGTTACACTGAGAGCTTAACCTTGGTACATTTTTCGATTACCTCGAACATCTTCGGGTGAACACTAGGAATAGTCGTCTTTTCTTTCACTTACCCGCACATTGGAAGTTTTTTATTATCCCTTATTCAAGGCGCATACAGGCGCATATGGGGGACTACGGGAGTGACTGAGATCTCAAGGTGAAATGAGCAGCCCCTATTGCGATTGGGCTATATAAAAGGAAACTTCACCTTAATCAGTTTGAAAACGTGTTGAAATAATTTGCGTGAAAGTACGATGCCAAAATATGCCAGAACCTCAAAAATCAGAACGTATTCTGGGATTATGACACCTCCGAAAAGCGAAAGTTCATTGTTTGATGCAAGTTACCTGTCTATAGAAATTTCAACTGATTGCGCAACAAATATATACATATATATGTATATACATATGTATTTATTATTAATCAAGGACGAGGATGCCATTTTTTCTGATGCATATTGCCATGCCATCAGTCCGACTGTTGCATAAATCACTGTTTTTCTGTTTTTCTTCATACTCGGAACTAAAATCCTTCAGACCTTTACTGTATGGGTCTGTCCCTTTCTAACTTACGATGACCGTTACACTCTGCCGCATTACACATCTTTAAACAGGTGAATTGTTTGTCAGTAGTGAGGGAGAATCCTTAAGCCACTGAAATTAGCATAGAAAAATTACCATTTGTGGTAAATTTCCACGAACTCACATTTGAGAAACTTGGATATTTCATCAAGTTGTGGTAAATCCGATTCCCTGAAAAAAGAACCGACAGAGAGTTTAGACTAAAAACCGAAAAAAAGTAATTCCATATGATTTCAATAGTTCCCACAGGGCCAGATTACCAAATGAGCATTCGTGACCTCCTGATTGTTACTTAACGGGACGTTAGTGTGTTCCCGCGAGAACGGATATTAGCATTCCGGTGTATCAAACGGTCAAAGGAGAAACAAGCCTATGAAAATCGGTAGGACTCTTTTCTGCTGCACCAACTGAAGGCCTAAAAAGAATGAAACTTGTACTGTCATTTAGGATCAACCTCGCATACAGTTTCGTTTAATGGAATCTTCCTGTCTGCCTTTAATCCGAGACAAAACTGACTTAAAATGATGAGGTGTATCAAATGACAATCCCCTAGAAATTAGGCGACTAAAGAAAACACATTGTTTGATGGTAATCGCGAACCTGGACCACTTACAAATAACACGCAGACCTCAAATATACCCAGGGACCTTAGGTTCGGAACTATTTATACAGGAGGTAATGCTTTAAATAGTGACAGAGGAATATCATGGGACTGCGTGGGAAGTCTGGACATCTGACACTCACAATGAGCGTGACAGTTAATAAAAAAATAACAAGATGTTAGTGGCACCATTGTTACTCCATGCACATCTACAAGTCAGATGTTGAAGGTGCACGGGCTTTCAGTGCCTCGCTTTACCATGCACAGTATGAGAAGATTTGTCACGTGTAACCACCTTCTTGGAGAAGAACCTTTGCTAGACGGAGACACCTTATTTTTAGTAAGCTACACGATCTCGAGGGTACGTCCGAAAGCATGCTACTACCGGCATGACTACTGAACAAAGACCACATGAATGTGACATTTAAGACAAAATGAAGTTAATTGTTGGTCTACATTTTTGCAAAATTCAGTCTTTTATTATTTTGCAAGGGGCCGAAAATTTAAAAGACTCAAAACGACTATGTCAACATCGGTTTTAATGGCATCCTGCAGGGCTTACTTGTAACCTGCATGCTGCTGCAGAAGTCTAAGGTTTTCCAAATGTTCCTTGCAAGCGTGTGTTTCGTACAATTTCGTGAGTTCTCGATAAATGCAACCCCTGAAAACAATTAGTGACAAATTATCATAAGTTATTGTCATTTTAAAGAATGCAATCGAGATCTGAATAACTAAATATCTCAAATTTGCAATAATTTCCACTCTTTCAGGAAACTCAACTCATATTTTTTTGAAATAAGGTTGCGGATTGCCAGTGATCGCCAAAAGACAGATGTTTGTAGAAATTGCTGTAAAACCTGTGGTGTTGTACTGTGATGCAGTCTACTTTTCTCAAAATAAACACATTGTGACTTGTTTTCCTAAAGGAAACTACTCATAAGGTTGCTGAAACCTCTTCGACAGCCCACGACCTGCTTCACCCTTCTTGCCTTCTTGATACTAATCAGGTAGGTGCAGTCTCCGAGTTTCTGTCAACCTTGTGTTCTACTTGAACCCGAATTGGACTGTTTCGGAGAAATACACTCATTTGCAATTCAATATGGTTTTTCACGAGAGACTCAACTGAATCTCTCGTTTGTGATATTCTACAACTGAATGTGCTGCACACAGGCCACCTCATGATTCATGCTGTAATGCAGTCCACTTGTTCAGAATAAACACACTGTGACTTTATTGAATAGAATACTTCTTGGATATGCTTTTTAGTCACACGTTCGCCGAAGCCATGCAAAGGAAATGGGATAACCCTGAACGCAGATATCTGTGGTTCCTGATGCTCGACGACTCTTATTGACCGCCCTCTACGCCGCGTTCACTTTTTAGTGTAACTTGTTTTTAGGTTTTACTATCCGGACGTTAGATATGCTTCTTTACAATAGGATTCAGTGTTAAAGAAACAGGTAACACGATTTTTAAGAAGCCGTGAACTAGTTGTTTGAAAGAAAACTGCTTTCCAGCTGTTGGGTACAGTGAAGCAGATAAGCTTGCTTAGATTTGTTCAACAGCGCAGTAAGAGTACGACAATGCCCAGACCTGAATTTTTCGTTAGTTCGCGAGAATATAGATTGAAATCAGACAGCACTGCTGTCTAATATGTGATATTCACGGAGATTTTCCCACAACCTAGAACACGTTTCGTTCCTGCCAGTGCTATCCGAAAAGCAAGACGCAAGAAAGCTACTAGTGAGGTGAATCTAGTTTCATGAGACATCTTTTAGCAATTCGTGTTTCATGAACTATTAAATCAGTGTGTCAATGGACACGAATCAGCTTCCGCAAGGCATGAAACTACACAGATAGCTATTGGATAAAACGTACAGTACAACTTTTAACACATTTTGTACGAAGAAGTCCCACGAACTCTGAACAAAACCCATTAGAGGTTCGCCCCATTTTTGCCTCATCGGTTGGGCGCAGCATTCCGAGGCTTGGAAATTGAATAGTCCACTTGAGTATCGAAGTGATTGAACGGTGGCTTTTGAATTTACACAATAAAACAGAAAACACGATGGATACTTCGGTGGTTAAAGGCATGAGCTCATCCTTCCGCATAATGTGCAAGGTGTGGTCCCTACTGGAGTTCCGTTCGGTGGGCACTAAAGATAATTTTCTTCCATCTTGCTGTGAGTAGTTGATAGCATTTGGGAAAATCCGCAGACACTCCAATAATGGATATCACATTCTGGCCTCAGCTTATACATGCATATATGTAACCGTTTTCTGTGCAATAAAACATCACGGTATTTTCTCTCCTTGTCGATTTAAGCCAGATTGCTTAAGATTCGATGAAGATGGAACGTATCTATAATTTGTGTCCATACGGAGTAGCCGCTGTTGTATTCTAGAAGTTCTCTCAGTGAAACCACGGCACATTATGAGCTGATGCCCCTCATTGCTAATCCCTTATTCCTTGATAGTTTCAATGATATAGTAAAATCCAGACATTGAAAGGTTTTGTTGAGCCAAAAGAATTTAGTTGGAACTCGGAACTATGATTCCTAGGACCAGAGGTTTCGCGAGGTAGACGGGAACCTATAGACAACCACCGTTATGCCGTTTAGAGTTACCCGGAAACAAAATCGGATATACGTAGGGCTTCACGCTCGATGATGTTTCAGTAAAATTCCTACCTACTTGATACACACTTTGTAATCAAAAACGGATGCTGCGTCAATTTCTTTGGTGAATATCAGACCAATGCATGATTCACCCAGAAGTCCTAGGCTCTCTGTTTGGCGATGCACGAAGCCATAAGCGCTGCTGCACTCTGAGCGGCGCTGAGCGGCCGTCAGTCAATACTTCAGGGCAATGCGCCTCTAGCCTCCTCAGCTTAGACGCTAGCGTCATTTGGGATGGACGATTAGTCATTTTCCTGAGCTTATCACATTGATGTTAAATGATATTTAGGCGCTCATTGAGAATGATATCTTCACATCACTGTTTACAACAGAAAATATGTCTGCAGGAGGACAAAAAGTTAACCCTTGATGGTGGCATGTGTTCAAGTGCAGAAATTTAATAAAATGTCGATTCTGCCGATAATTAAATCATAGTCCGCCTGAAAAAAAACAGCGAGTTCACAAACAGACGTTCTTTAGGGAAGTTTCTTTTTTGGTGAAAAGCAACTCGGTACTTACCAAGTCTCCCTCTCGACCTCTGTATATTCGATTCTTGGGAGGGGCTGTCCACTAAAAGTAAATAAGCACCAATGAGGTTTTCCATCACAAAATAAATGACATACAGTTTAATGGTCTAAACGGAATGTCAAAAATTGTTGATACGTTTGTATTCCGGTCAACCGGGTGATCAAGAACGAAATAAAACAGCACCCAAGAGATACAGTGAGTATACACAACTAAGTTGATTTGTCTAATTTTCGAGGGCGTGTGTGAAAGTTCCTATTAGTGAGATGAATTGAGGGTGCGAATAATAGTTTCGCAAAAAATCTAAGGCCTTTAATCTCAACACTGGGAGAACAATCATTACACTGACGCACCATCGGAAATGTTACAAAGTTAAAGAATTTGTCTGTGAACGTCTAAGATGAAATTGTCTCATATGTGTCTTTGAATTCGAAGCAATGGTACAAGGCGTCATGAGGTGCTACTGCAAGTTTTTTCGTCATCTGTGTCGGTGTCACCCAGTCGGTAGAACCTGGGTACAACCATTGTGCTTAGACAAATGAATGACCAGATTATTGTCTTCTGACAAAATTCACTTTGTAAATCGACTTCCAAAAACCTCAAATTACACTTATAGCGAATAAAAATCTATAGAAAGTTTATCAACTTGCTTTCGCTTCCTGACACATCTCAGATTATTTTCCGCGCCCAAACTCCTAACCGAACCGTTTGAAATTATTCGTCCTGACTATATCCTGTTACCAGCAAACCTAACCACAGTTAGTCGGGCATTAGCTGAACCCTGAAAGATCAGATGTACAATCACCTACCGTATGATACCTTATAAGTTATATGTCGCGGCATGTTACCATTTTGTTTGTGGTTCTTAGCTGCGACGCATAAAGCGCGCAGTTTATAAATTTTCAAAAGCCAGTAAAAACGGTGAACTTGACAGATATATTTCTACGAAACCTGATCAGAGCTACGGATACGACGTGTTCCCCCAACAATGAGTGCACACTGAAATAGCTTGTAAAGGCTGATACATTTGGCTTCGCTGTTAACAAAAGTTCACCGATTGTTGTTGGCTAGTGACGTCACAACAAGGATACGAGGCAGACCATTTCGTAACTCGACCAGTTCGTAACGAGAACTTTGAGGAAGACAGTATCAAAGTATGGCCTGCGAAAGTTTGGAATCAACTACGCAGGTGATCAGGGCGTATAATGTCATTTATATCTGTTCTGCTCCCATCCGTTCTACAAACATGAGCATCCCCGCTAGTGCACTTTTAGTTACCCGCCAGGTGACTATGACGAACCCATTTCACGTCACTAAAGAGTGTCATCCAGGAGACGCCCTAGTTGAATAGTACCGCGCACGTGCATAAGGACGAAAGCGAATTTATTTCCGATGGAACATATATACTTTTTAAGTGTAACCACTTCGAAAGTTAGACATCTGCCTTGTGTTACTCTTGCCTTGTAGCCGACTTAATACTAAGATTTTTGAAGGAAAGCGGCAGATAGACAGTGAACGCAAAATCTTTTATCAGTGGACTCTTGATGTCTACCCAGTCTGAGCTCCAGTATCATCTGGCTATTTAGAAGTGCATCTCAACCACTCGACGCAACTGCGATCAATATTTTGCACTCCTGGACCTCAGATTAAGGTAACCGCAGCCGTCAAATTCTTGCGGCCTCCAGATCATCTACCAGACTTGCCACCGCAAACTGTCCTAGATGAGAGAGAGAGTCATATCTATCAGTACACATAATATCCGAGAGGGTGATCAGATGATAAGTATGCAGATGCGGCGACAAAAGGACAACGACGTAAGAATGTTCACCGAGCCAGTGATGGGTAAAGAATCTTCTGGGCTTACAACAGAGCAGGTTGATCTTTATCGTCTCTAAAATGACAAAAATAGACTCCTTCCGCTTTAAATAATTGGGACGAAAGCGATGTTTCCGAAAAAACTGCACGCAAATGTTTGAAGAGCTAGGATCAGTCAGTGTTTGTCAATCACTCCAGCTTAAAAACCCTATATATCATCGTTGGAAAGCAAAGATGGCATTCACTCATTAGGCAGATTTCTTAATATGTAGTATGCAATCCAAGTTTCCAGCGCCAGATTACGCTCCTAATCACCTCTGGAAGAAAGGCTATCGTCTTCTTTCTGATTTTTTGCCCAGGACGGTCTTGGGAATATAGTTGAACTCCTCAGGTGAATTAAAGCAGGAGATACCCTGCAATTTTGAGTACACCAGCAACGTGAATGTAGTTTTTCAATATTCTGAACGTTGTGTGTGAAGGCGCATTGCTAGAAATCCACTTTTTGCCTTCCCCCAATTTCTTAGAGTGAAAATGTCCGCCAATCAGAGCAGATGATCATATGTGGAGATTTCATCCTCTAAGTGAAGCCAATCTATGCTGAAAAGCTGAGAAGAACTGTACAGCTGTTTCATCCTTATCGCTGTGTGCATCTCAAGAAAATCCGAAGAGTCTCGAACCCGCGACCCCCTGGCTGGTAGTTTGAAAACAACCGTTCGGCCAGGAGTGGCTGGTCAGCAGTTGGATTAACCCGCATTTAGATAGAATATAGCGCCGCTCATCCTTCAATCACGGGATCCACATCACGCGGTCACACGTGTTGAATGGCTCTTCAAGCAACGACTTCTCAGACGGAAGTTTCACTCGTCATGTGAAGTTTATTCTTCCACTAAGCTACTTTTGGATTGTTGGTAGTATGAGATTTGTGAATTTTGTTCGCCAAGCTCGGCGAACCAACAACCGAACGGCGCACCCGAGCTACCTACGTTCCACAATAGATATCGGACTTTCGTTCATTGTAAAAAAGGAGTCCCGAGTGACCGATTCTTTCACGGGGTTACTAGACGTGGTGGTTGGTTGACATGTTAAGATAATTCAAACTTTTTAGCCTTGAGTCCGCCATGCCAATCTGTCTTCAGAGCACACGAACGTATCGATTAATAAATTTCCTTGAGTAACGCAAAACTAAGCAAATGCAATCACCACCGGCAACCAAACAACACTTACTGCTTGTAGTTATAAGCAATCTCAGCGAACATGTTACGTCTTTTTCTGTATTCCTCATCTTTGAAGCCCTGCAGGACAAGAAAAAGCCTGTTTTACAACAGGAATTCACAGGAATGAATCCAAGCAACAATTAGTGAAGTCACTGAGCCGACCGACAGAAAGATTTCTAATTGGCTCTCTACAGTAGATGCTAATCAGGTGCGTTTTCTAAATACCGCAAACAATGGAATTTCAATTCTGATTTTTTAAATTTTGGAACAAAAGTATTTTAGCGACCCTAAGCACAGGCATTTTATTCTGACGGCATATAAGAAGATCTGATGGAATTAGAATCTGACGAGATCGATAAAATGCGGACACAAAAGGTGTTCTGCTAATAGTGTTATTAGAGAAATTATTGCTGAGTTTGTTCACCGAGCGCGTAGGAAAAGTGCGTCCTCTCTCGAGCGCTTTTGTTCTGGACGAATAACTTATTTCTCACTGAACTCACTCAATGAACTAACATAAGTGTCTCGTCATAACCAGTTGTATGGTCTGAATAACAACCATGGAGGTTGTACCAAAAGTTAAGGAACAAGCTGTTCACTGGCTACATTATATTGATTTCACAATACATAGTTTATGGTTGAGGCTAATATCCCGGGTACTTCACATAAACAACAAATTCCGAGTTTCATCGAATCAACCGCATCATTCCTTTTGAATACAATCGAGTTGTGAACAAAATTGCTCGCAAGACGGTAGAAAAATCGGAGTTGGTATCTTAATTATTGTCGACGTACAGTCCACAACAACTAGTTGCAAGCAACTGACAGTATATTTTGGCACTGCTCAAATGACATGCTCTGAGATTTTTCTCTAGAAGATTCGTGAGCAATTTATCTATAGTGTACTAATGTTCTAATGAAATTAACTTCAATTCTTTAAAAGCTAGTACAATATATGGCCGTGATAAGTTGTAAAAATAAACCATTTTAATGAATTTGCATTATGCTCTGTAAAATATTCAGAATTTCGAATTTTTGATTAGATTTCAATTTATTCCACTTATAAAGCCCAAACAAACTCTTACATATTGAAAAAAGTGAAAAAGAATATCCCTTTAACCGTTTTATGACTTGACCATGCCAGGGAATCTCCACTTAGGTCCACTAATTTCGATTTTTTGGACAGTTTTGCTTCACACTCCGAAATGTGTCAGTGATTTATAAGCCCACCATTCAGCAATTCTTCTATGTCGTGGGCATTGTACTGGCTGTCTAAATCACTGCTCAACTGCCATACAATCCTGAAAGAGGAGAACTATACTAAAACTTTCAGTCGTGAGTGTAACCTTGACTCTGCTTACTAGCAAAACAAGACCCCGACTTCACCAGATAAAACGGCCAAGAGCTAGATGCCCATACACGGAACCATTCAGATGGACATGTCTGAGCATTGTGTTGTGACAAAGCGACATCAACGAGCTTGAATCGTTGTCCTATGCGAAACCCACTGAACTCAAATTCAGTGCATAATGAGGGACACACGTTTGATGGGCCTAAACCTGAAGTCAAGCCATACACAGCCACGTTCTATATATTTTCCACTTACACCAAATGAGAATCGAGTGGAAAGTAGACAGGAGGTCACGTGAGTCTTGCAGTACATAGCCTAACGTATCCGATTTCTTTTGCCTTACTTTGACATCCCAGCCCTCCACGAGGGCCTTCAAACTCAGGGTAGTCCGTTAGGACCGTTTTTTTTGACACCCGCTAAGTTGGAATATGTTGCTGTCACAAACTTCTCATTCTAAGTACTTAGATTTTCAAACCAGGGTTTTCAGGCTTATTTACGCTCTTTGTAACACACGTCCACCCAGAACAGGATGGAATAATTGGTTTCACAATAAAATATGGGATAAAATGCACATAATTACTGCTAAAACAATACTCACTGGATGGTCAGCATCCAGATCTTTGCCGTACATGAACACGTGATTGGAAACCTCGTCAAGATCCTTAATGTGGCGAGGGAACCATGGAACACGGATTGTCTCATTCATATCGGCGGCTGGAAAATGAGCAGACACTTTAGCAACACCGTTTCGTCGCTGAACTTCTGTAACGATTTCACCCAATTAAGAGTAGAATTACGCTCCAAATACACCCTATTGGCCTTTGAGTTTTTAGCTCTAATAATTTTCGACAACTCAGATTACGTGTAGTTTGAAGACTCGTTGTACGCCCGGATCTCCATTTTGCTGGGGTCAATGGCTTCCGCACATTGATAAAACTGTTCGGATTGTGAGTGCTACTGGAATTTAGGGGATTTCTCTGCATTTGTAGAACTATTCTGCTTAGCTCAAATGCACTATCGCGATAATTTATGCAGTCAGATATGAAATCAGTCTCTTGTAAAATTACGTCTCTCGTGACATCAACAGGAATGGGGATTTGCCATTTAAAGATGTGAGGCTGAAAATAACCACATCAAATGACGATGCCAATGAAAAAATACGGTGTCCGGGATGGTATATACGGAATAACTCCGCACCGAATTAGAGGGAGCGTTCCTCAGTAGGACCTGGATATTTGGAGAATATCTAATATTGTTGGTTGCCGCTTTCTGAAAAAAAACATGTTCTTTACATTGGAACTCAGTATGCCATCTAAAGAAACCGGTAGGCATCTTGAGACTGGTTGGGAGGATCACTTATCCTATAGACCGTGTACACCAGACCTTTGAAAAACCCGGATTTCTCGTTTATTTGTCCGGCAGAAGCTGGTCGCAGATATGCGTGGGAAATAGCGGGCTGTTTGAAAGAATTTACGCGGTCGGATTTGAAACCCCAGCAAACAGAGCAGTTTTAAATGGTCAGGACCCCTCAAAACCGGTCATCACGAATAACTGACCTCTCTGGAAGACTCGCATTCAACGGCCTATCCGTTGACTAAATAATTGTAATGTGCTTTACAACCTTCCGATACTACAGAATAAACACCAGGTGTGTTTATTGGTTCTTTCTCAGGTGGTTGTTCATCTGTTCGCCGAACCTGACAATAGACATGTAAGCGTTTCGTTACCATAGGAGGAGACATCAGGGCGCAGTTTGGTGCTCGGCAAATAGATAAACAGCGACCTGATCAACAACCAATAGACAGCAAATGTCGTACCCGGTTTTCCCGTTTGTTGCCCCGGAGTTGCATGAGTCAGAGCAGAGAACCCATTTGAACTGCCAAGACTTCGCTACCATTAGGGTTCTGCGAGGAAAATTTGGCTACAGAGAATTTCGTTCTCTTTTCACAGCTGCAACAGGTCAAACAAGTTTATCGCTTAGTCTGAGACGTCGTTCAATCCTGGACGCTTACGTCTTTTCAGAGGTGATTATTCATACAGTGGTGTGCCAGTGGTTGGTGATCTGTTTGCCTAGTAAGTCGGATGCACGTGACTTGAATTCCGGTGAGACCGAGGATATGTCCTATTGATGGCCTTCAATAAAAGTCGCTTCCATGATGTGTAAAGCATCTACCAGTAGATTAACTGTAAAAAACGAATTCGAATGTTCTGTGACGGAGAGTGACAAGAGGAATGTGATAAATGAAGAAGGGATGAGTGGCATCGATTAGTTTGGCTTACCCTGATGATTTAGCAAATATCGATATGGGACATCTGACAATGAAGTAAAGCAGACAACACACATTTTGGTTGGAACAACATTAATCTGGTTCGGGAGTTTTTCATTTAGACCAACAACGCGTGGAATATATCACCAACCTGATATTCAAGTGTGTATCTGGCATTAACACCACTAGTGCAGTACTGTTGTCAGTGGAGGACAATTCAAGAAGTTTACAGCTGACAAGACATCTATTGCTTGTCATCATTGTCTCCTCAAAATGCATTCATTCGTTGCAATGTAACGCAGAATTCTGGATGTGTATGCCTTTAGATCCCAAAACAGTGTCAAACTATTTCTTGAAATATTGGAGCGAATGACCATTCACAGCGAAGACACATCTATTTGGCTATCTATTTGGTCGAAGTTTTGGAATAGAAAAGATTTAAATCGCGTGGACTAAGTATTGCGCAATTTAAGCAGCGCGTCCAACTCTTACCTCTTACAACCAAACAAAGCTCATATGAGTCACGTATCAGTTTGCAGTTTATAGGTTCATACCGATTTTTACAGCTTCTCCTCTCTTCATTGGTCTCAGCTGGTTTCAAAAGTGATGACTACAATCTTTTCGCTGTGAACATATGTAAATTAAGTGCTCGATCCCCTACATTGGTTAGTATAAAACTGGAACAAATAGACATTTTTCATGCTATTAATCTGTTTGTACAAGGCGGAATTGCTGATCCGGATCGGAAGCACCTATCCTATGAAAAAATTTACTTGTGTATCTGATCTTGAAAAGCAAGTCACCAGACATAACTTAATCTTACATGCCTTCTCAACGAAGTCCTAATCAGTACAGTGGTGCGTTCTCACACTGGTGAGTTGTGTAGCTGATTGCAACCACGTGGAAAAATACTCCTTATGGTTACACTTACCGCATTCTTTCTTGATGTGTTCCGGATGTATAGATACTTGTGGTGAAATTTGGTTCAACTGATTCGCTAAATGTTCCTCCATTTCTGAGGGCAATGATATGTGGGCATAAACATCCAAAACGCCTGAATCGCTTGCATTTTGTTTTCGATTGCCCTGTCGGGTCTCCAAATGCAAAACTTTGGCATTAGCCGCCTTCAAGAAATAGAGAATGACATTAGTACACTGTATTTTTTGATGGAAAATATCGAAAGTGTACACGTTTTGGTAGAATAAAATGGATCCGAATGCAAGATTCATGAAGTAACTAGGCCATATAAATCAGTGAGGAAGCCGCTCCCCTTCATACAAAGTGGCCTGTTAAGTCTCAAGCAAAATATCGCAAGGTGTCATTTTTACACAATTATTCCAAAATAAAAGAGTGGTCATCACTTTCAACACCTAATGTTGCACTGAGGACTGAAACCTTCATTCGATGCAATTCCACGTAATATCTTTCATTTATTCAACTTTGTCTACTTTTCTCTTTTTTACTACATTTCCCACCGGAACCTAACTTTACCGACATGGACCGCGGTGCCCCAATCAAGGATAAAAAATCCATTCAGTTGATTTTCTTTAAAGAGATTTTGGGGCAGTTCACGATTCCTATTTTAATTTAAAAACTACTCAATGTTTGCATAATTCTTAATGAGTAAAGTCGTCACCGGTATTTGGCGATCTTTTTGTACAGTAGGAAAAAACAACTTCCGGGAGTTGCCTTTCGCCCTTTTCTACAGAGCTTTTGCCAAAGAAACCCAGCGCATCTAGGATGGGGCCTAGACTACACGTTAGTAAATTGGTGTCTTTCATGGTTTGTATCCCAAACTATCGTCGGCTAAGCCGAAATGGTTGAACCGTCACGCCAATTTTCTTTCAATATCTAAATTCGATATTTCACCGTTGGATCAAGTGCACTGTAGTAGGATTATAAGTGCACAAGTTGTTATCTATTTATTTCTTATTCAGTCCTCCTTCAACTAGAGAGAGACTAGAGATCGTACTCTCCTCTGCCGTACTTATCAACGGGCCATTTAGGTTCATTGTAGTTTCGACTGTACAATCTATAAACTGATATATTTTCTGAAGTGATAAGCTGATGAAGATGCTCCAAGATGAATGTTGCCTAAACTGGCACAAAAACATTGCAATGTTTCTCGTCTCCGTTAGGTACACTGCCTGTGATTTCCAACAACAACACACGAGAGTGTTTATTGTGTCTTGTACGGCGTGTTCACTTAGCAAGTTGGGGAGGAAACTATGGGACTTTCGACGTCAGCATAAACTATGGATGGCATGGTTAAAATGAAGAAATAATGTACTTTGAACATTGTCGAACTATAAACCAAGCAAGCGAAAAATTATACACCCTTCGGCACAGTTCAAGCAGGCAACTTCTTCCTTCCAAAGCAGTCACTCCACCGGTAGTACCACTGAATATTATGATCGGTGTTGCACAGATGGACACAGATTTCATTTTGATTACTAGCTGATGTACGACGCGGATGTTGTTAATATTATAGTAGGTTCTAAATTGGACCAGATTTTAATGCCATCCAGTCACCCAAAGGGACTTCGTTTAATTCGACCCTAAGTTCTAGTCCTCTGCAAGACTTATACGTCTCTACGTTCGTTTCGTATACTGCGGTTCAGTTTCGCCCCGTGTACAGCAAACAGTTATTTTCAGATCTCTAGCTCGCATGGTAAACTTCATTGGACTTTATTGTGAATAGTCTCCGTAGCCATTTGTCCCTGGATGACTGAGGATGTTTCGAAATGTGGACAGTCCAAAACTAATTTATGAAAGGTTTCCTAATTTGTTCAAGCAGAGATCGTGACAACCTCACTTGAGATTAAAAACAACGATCAGACCGATCAAGACAATTATTTAAGAAACGTTATTCTAATTTGTGGGGAATAAATTACGGAATATTCTAGAAACAACGTCTTTCGTTGCTGAAAAATGTTCTGACATAAAAAAAGATAAAAAGCTAAAAGCGGGGTTATGTGAATCCAGTTTCAGCTCACGAATGAAGAGCTGTCCTGGTATTCCTCATTTTAGAGATGATATCTCAGCATTAAGCTAGACAAATAAAAACCGATGGAAAAGCTGGAGTCCGTTTGGTGTATCGCGATGCATTTTTTCCATAACAATGTCGAGGAGGAATGATAAAATGCTTTCGGATAAAGGGATAAAATGCAGAGAAATATCGTAATATTCCCCATGGGGGTTTGCGATGGTTCTGGAGGTCTATTCCTTGGTCAAACGAAGTTCACTAAAAATCGTGACATCCGAACACTGTGAATAAATGATGAAACATGAACCGCGTTGTAAAACCACACAAGCAACAACCAGGGAAACAAACTTCGTGTGTCGGAATACTCAACCGAGCACTCACCGTTTGTTAATGGAAAAATGTTACTACTGTTGAATTCCCAGTAGGTAGTTTTCTTACTGATAATCGACCGATCCACGAGTCAATGTAAATGTGCACCTTGGAGTTCTTCCATTGCCGGTAACTCGGAGGCTTCGTGTACACATATGTACACAGCTAAGAAAGTTTGTTCGTGTATAATTACAAAACGCGTTGAGGAACAACGCCACGCGTGGAGTATTTAGTCGTCTTCTCGTGGTTTTAGTGCTAAGTTCGTGTCAATGGTCAATTTATTAGTAGACAAATACATTCTCTCATGGACTACCATCAACATGATAATCATCATCATCACCGACAGCATGACATCAGCGTTCGGCACCGATGCTTCACTGCCGTACAACCTTGATTTATTTGAAAGCCTTGTTATAGAGAAAAGAGTAAATATGGACAGGGGAGGGACTTAGTGACACATTATCACAATCATTCCACGATACTTACACCTCCAGACATTCACTCAGGCAATCTGGATAGAAACCGACAAGAGGAACGCCACTGACATCGGTTGGCAGCCATATCTTGCGGTGTCCGACCAGGCGCAGTGATGATCAAGCTGTCCCCATCCTGGAACACAAGTAGCACCGACAGCACCCAAACGTCTCTTAATCTCCTTCATACTCCTTTGTCAGGTAAATGGTTGGTCATATCTCTGCTTCCGCCACTTTGAGATGGGCACGGGAAACGGTACTACTCCCGGCAGACGACTGCTAGACATACGCAACACATATCCCGACCAACGTAGCTTCTGGTGCTGGACACATTCTTCGATGGAAGTACCCGTTGTGCAACCGAAAACGTGCTGTCTAACTGCCTCATTACGGATTCACTGACACCAAATCACACGAGCTCTGGTTCTGAGACAACGATTGTCGAACACCTGAAGAAGTCTCAGTTCCGCTGCTCGAATAGGCCAAGTCTCACAGCCATACAGCAAATCAGCTCGTACTGTAGCTTGATACACACGTCCCTTCAGATTCAGGGATAAACCATTCTGACGCCATAGGTGTCTCAAGTTAGCAAACGCGGCCCGAGCCTTGCAGATTCGTGCATGCACCTCATCTGTCACACAACAGTCAGAACTAATACAACTTCCAAGATACGCGAAACGCTCCACAACTTCTAGTGCCTCTCCCTGGATCGTAAGTGGCGTGTTCAATGACTGCACGTCCACAAGCATGACCTTACACTTTGTGGGTGCAAAGTGCATACTAAAGAACAGGATGACTTTGCGCCTTTTCCTCCTCTTCGAAAATGAGAACGATGTCGTCTGCATTTTCCAGATCCACAAGGTTTTCTTCACAGGCTATTTGCACACCAGGGTTTTGGAGACCCTCCAGCATTAGGCTCGATTACGAAGTTATAAAGGAATGTAGAGAGTGAGCATCCCTGATATCGACTACCAATCTAAGAATGAATGCATGAGTTATATTCAGATATACCTTGTGGTTTGGCATCCTAAGTCGTGTCAGTTAGCCCTGCGCACCGTCGATTGTTTAGGGACAGATGGGTTCAGTCTTCCAAAAATATTTGGGAATGATTTTGAAATTTGACCAATTGTATCAAGTGAAGTTACCAACAAATGTGGTTCCGGAACAAGTTCCTTAATTCGGCTGTTTCATAGGCTGCCCATTTTTCCGAAACGGGATATTTTTTCCTAATTATATTTTGACAACCAGCAATCCAATCCTACATTTCGGCGTTAGCCTTGACAGACGGTGCTCGTTGTCATGTGAGATCACTTATGCACCGTAATAGGAATATGGTAGCTGCTTTTTCCTAGAGCCTTGTTCTTGGTTGAGACGCCAGAAATCGGATCCGTTCTTGTTACGGGACACAGGTGTGGATAACGAAAGCTCTTGAATAACCCATTAGCCATTTAGTATATTGTGCGAGTAAACAATGTGACATTGTTCCTTCAAATCTGAGAACTTGGTTTCCCACTCGGCATCTAAATCAACAATCACTTGGATAACGAATTGGAATTAAAACAAATTTCCGAAGAATAATTTTGGGAATTTCTCGCGAACAACTCAGAAGTAGTTCATTTCATTTGGAGATCATCCCAAGTGTGTGGTTTACTCTCTCAGTTTAGTGAAAGTCTAATGCCAACTTCCGAATGAGACAAATAGCACCGATGTTAGCCGTCACATTCTGGTCACCGCAGTTCGATTCCACGTCATTGTCTGACTACACAATGCTCTTCACACTTTTATATCTCTTGTTTGCAAGCTGAACATAGTGGTAAATTTTGGCTCACATCAATCAAATATTCTGATATTTCAGAGCTGTTTTGCGCTCCTGTGAGTGCATCAGCAGAGTCTAGCCAGTTTGATGATGGAAGTAAGAAATGCTAAAATACATCGATATCGGATGTTTCACTGCGATAGTGCGATCAGTTCCCCAAAACCTTATGTACTAATGAATGAATCTCACAAATTCGTCGATCTTTAAAGTCCTTTCGGTTTCAACCGCCAACTAACTTCGATTGATCTATGGTCAACGTAAGCTTAGATTTAGCTGGTTTTACTAGACTGATCGCGATAAACATGCAGAAAAGGGGTTATTCTCAACGTAAGAACACGTCTTGCAATCAAATTACTGTGTGCCTGCAAAACCTCAGTAGGGCATATTGGGTTGAGTATTCAAGCCATTGGGTTGGATAAAAATTGATTATATATAGAATTTAAATTGCCGTCGAATAAACGAAAGGGGACATACGTAGAAGGGCATTAAAGGAACGATGATAGAATTACATGCCTGCTTGAAACAAGGTATTTTCTATAAGCGCATTTTTACATATTTCGTGCACTAATTTCAAACTCTGCCTTCGGTCACGAATGCAACCTTACAGAAGTCCCTCATGAATATTTTCTGTTGACATGTATCCAAAAACGTCTGACTAACCAACGATATCGATAATCACTACTGTGAAGAAGGTGAGGCACGGATGAAAGACACAGATGAGATTAGGCACAACTACTAACCCACCGCTACGCACAACTGCGCTCCCCAGTAACGCACTGATGATATCAGCTCGATTGGTGATGAGGCATTTGCAATCAAATTGCCCAGCTCAGCGAACAATTTAACGGCCATCTATGCTACCTGAGCTACCGATATTTTCCTCTATAGGAGACCGTTTTATTTAGGAAATTCTTACAAATATTTTCCTCTTGTGCGGAAGATGAGTCTGGGTGAACGACCATGGATGTAAAAAAACCGCTGCGAAAATCGTATCGCCTTGGTAAGCTTGTGGCTGATTCCTCCGAATGAACGCCCTCATAGTTAAAACAGCTAGCGTGCGCTGAAACAAAACTCTGTAAAACTGTAGCGCAGACGTTTAGCAAACGTCCAAATGCACTTTAGAGCATTGGGAGAACAGAATCAGTTCTATATGTCGGCATCTAAAGATGTCATCAACTGCATTGGGTCGAGATTGGTTAAACGTATTGACCAGTAGCCAGAAAATATCCCTGGTCCCTTACTAAATAAGTAATACAAATGACCATATTTGAGCGCGACGTTCAGCCTATAATTGGCTTTCGGCCTATGATAATTGGTCACAACGTCTGGACAGACAATGCAACATGTAGAGTGGGCCGTCTGGAACATGCTCCTGTACGAAAACGTCAAACGAAATTAAGCACAGTTTTGAAAGAATTATCCGCGTAAGTTTACGTAAACAGCTTAAGAGTCACAGACTTCCTGCTAGCTTGTTCGATCTCAACATATACTGGCGTTCTTCCAGGCCAACACCTTGAAGTCCCAGGGGCCTTCACCTTAATATTTCCCGTACAAACCAAGCTTCGTGGATCCAGCCACCCCCAAAAGATGCTTTTGCATTGTTGAAGTTGGCTTCATCGTTTAGCATATAAGAAATGTGTTGCCTCCGTTTACCGTTAAATCTGCAATAGCTGGCACTGTGGCCGATAAAGCCAGCGAACAATTGATGAAGCTGTAGCGCGTGGTCTACTTGGATCAGCATTGGACAATGACAAGAAATCGTCATTTACTGACGTTATACCGACGGCGAATAAGCGATTTGTACAAATCCTAATTGGATGCGCCAACTTCTGAAGGGCGAGACAGCAAAAACGGTAGACAACCAATGTGCTCACAGCTTGGCTCAAATTTTGACGCTACACTACAATGCATAGAAACTCATCAAGCAAAGCAAGAAAACTTACAGATAACGTTGATATAAGCTTGGCCAAATCCGCAAGACTTTCGTTTAACGAAACGATGCAAACCAATTCCTTCTCCGCGTGGTTCTGATCTTTAGCATCCGACATTTTCTTGCTTTTTTTCTTGCTGAGATGCAACTGATAAGGAGGAAAGTTTTTATACTACTTGCATGACAAAAATTCGCACATCGAATGTCTCCTGTAAATCAGTGGACGCACAAGAATGTCAAGAATCAAACAAGCCCACATACACAGATAAACCCAGATTTGGAGATGTAAGTGCAACAAAGTACATATATAATTAAGAAAACCACGACAAAGAATCTTTCCCAGTGAATGCACCAAAAACAACACATAGGCTCGCCAAACCGAGACTGGCAACCTGATGCATTCGTCCTGGCCGGAAATCAGAGCACCTCATTAAGTACATTTTTGAGGAAATTGGTCTTCATCACTTGTGAACTCAATACATGATAAATATCTATATTCCGACTTAGGTTTAACTAGCAAGCCGGTTTTTTTATCAAACGTTATTAAGATAAAAAAGGATCCTAAATTTTGTAAAGGCCAATGATTTACAATTTGCAACGTCATGAAAACAGGAGAAGTAAAAGTGGTTTGCAACATACGGAAGGCCACAGAGCTTTAGAGTCTGGAAAACATATCTCACTGTTAGAACACATTTAAAATTCGTTAACAAATACACAAAGACCTGAGCAGCGAGCGTACATTTGATGAAACTGGGTTGTTGAATTCTGTAGCGCTGAGCTGAAGTGCCTCACCTGTCTACCAAGGAAAGAGTTCTCATCTACAGATTGATGACTCAGCCGACATCTAGTAAAAGTGTTTCAGGAATTAAATGAGATAGCTCGTGCTTCATAATCGTGTGAGGGTATTTTGGAATTTACAACAAAGGCTTCGTCTAATAAGTAAAGTTATTCTATCACGGAAAGCCAACATGCCGTTTCCTCCTTTCTGGGAGCCATAGTCAGTGCACGACTCATGAAACTCCAGCCATTTTTTAACACTCAGACCCTCGGAAAGTGGTTTGTATTCACGCATTCACCCTTATACGCACATACATGCTTTTATAAAAAAAATAAAATCGCTCAGCTGTAGCACTCTTCGGATGCCTAACTTCCATGTCACCCGAGGGCTGGGATAATGTCAGGTTGACCAAACTTAGAAAGGAGAAGTCCTGAGGCAGAAGTCAGTTTCGAACCGCGGATCTTCGGGTCAGTAAATTCGCGCTCTAACCACTTGAGCGATCTCACCTCCATGTTTATAATATATATATATATATGTATGTATATATATATATATATATATATGTGTATGTATGTATGTATGTATGTATGTATGTATGTATGTATGTGTGTATGTATGTATGTATGNAGTTGTATGCACATATGCTCCCTATGCTCATATATATAATATATATATATATATGTATATATATATATATATATATATAAAGCAGCGTGCCCCGTTACAATGGATTTAAGTCAGGAATTTCAATGTTCCTCTGCGTTTTAGGAGGTTGGTTTTTCGAGTATTCATTGAGGTTTATAAGATTAGCAATGCTGATCAGCACCGGCAAGAAAAAAAGGAGTCATAAAGCTTTACTATGTGGCTCTAAATTTAGCTCAGTTGGACGTTGTTTGGTGGATAAAACCTCAAAAATCTTCAAAATCTCATCATCAAGAGGGAGATCAGTCTCAGCGGTGCCGATTGCTTAGCAGGCACCTGAGATGAGAAAAATCAACAGAAGGTAATGTTAAACGGCTGTGAAATTTTTTTGACATTTTCCTCAACGGAAACATAGGAGTTGATTAATTTTGATAGAAGTTAGACGTCGGTTTTTTTACGTGTGGACAGCAGTGCAATGTTTAACCCGGTCATAACAGGTCACGTATTATTCTCATCCATGAGTACTCGTCCATTCCCTGACTACACCGGCTGACGAATAATACGATGCTGAATTCCTTCATGGACGTCCGGGCCGTAATAACGCACTAACCAGGGGGTAAAATTTCCCTGAAAGCATCGAGGTAGCAGATTTGCGAACCGCAAAATCTAGACCGCACAAAACATTTAGTTCAGTAGGAAATAACAAGCCAGTTTTCCGGTGAACAATAATTGTTGTCGAGCTGTAGGGTGCCACAGAAGAGTCCTTGTGCAAGTGCTGATTGTCAGAGCTATGCTAGATCCTCTTCGTTTTAGAAACAACGCTTTAGGAAATGGTGCATGGCAAGCAAACTCTGAGTGGCCTGAATGCGCAAACTTATGTGAGCCATTGGGTATTTTTACCACTACTGTCATTGGTCAGTCTTTTGCAAGTTCATCGGCCGTTTCAAAAAAGAAACACCAAATCTGGTCATGCTAAAATTCAAAGAAATCTTGAACTCGACTAGCGATTCGGTGAATAATTTTGATTTGTTTTACTCAAAACCTTCATGAGTTGACATGGTGTGTTTCGACCTTCCAAGGCTGTCCAATCAACTCCGAACTGAATTAAGCATACTCCAATGCACACTGAGATAGTCAAAAGGAACCCAACCACTACCCACCGAATAACTATGTTCTCGGTGTCAAAAATTTATTCGACTCCGGTGAAAGGCTGCGCGATCCTTGCGATTTTTACCGAATGCTAGAATTGACAATAGGTACACGTTAACGAAAGTTGCAAGGAACCTGGAGTGTACCGGAAACCATTCCAGGCATCTTGAATACAAGGATGCTTATTGCATCTGCTTACGAGATAAGAAGTAACAAGTACTTTAATTCCTCAGCAAGAGAGCTGTTCAGCAAGTACTGTTAGTTTCGAACTACATCAAATTTTTTAACAAGTGGCTGTTTAAAATACGTCTGATGCAAAGTCACCTCAGTAGAATCCACTAATAAAAGATGATTAAACATGATATCAAGACATCGGAAGGGACTTGGTCACTTACGGGAAATCTATGATGAAAAATGAACTTGGTTTTCATAGTCAAAACTATAGTGAAGGTATATATCCAGGTGAATATCCTGTCGGGACAGCCAATAAATCGATACCGACTACTGCGCCAGGACTTTCAAAATCCAGTTATTCCAGTCTTTCATGCAAGTTAAGCATGCAAAGACACTTTTCAAGTCAAGAGTCTATCCAGTCGTCCTGGGTAATTACCGAAATTACTAACCTCCTACTCTATTTATGATTAACATATTCCGAGGTGCTGCGTGTATTACGTCCAGAAACAACGGTTTTAAAACTTTAATACACTAAGGAGAGTAACCGTAGACATACGACTGACGATGGCAAACCGTTTATCCATATAAACGAAAAATATCTTCATTTCGACGGATCTCAAGTGACGCCACAAAATGAACGATTTAAAGCTCAGTTTTAAATGAACTTTGTAACACGTTGTCGAGCACTACAAAGACGAAATCCGCCACTATGTGTTCAGCTCAACAGAGTCATTCGATGACTGGGCAAATACAGCTCCAGTTGGCATGTTTTGATGACATGAGTAGGCCTATTTGAACCAGTTCGGGGCAAACGGAAAGGAAATAATGACACGATTCCTATTCCCTATACGATATACAAGTACACTTTTACTACAAAAAATCAAGTTCTTCACTCCTTCGAAAGCAAACCATCAACTCTGGTGTTTACACATACCTACTGGTTGCATTGAGGGGAGCCATACGTTGGGTACTCGGACAGTGTGCTTACCGAAAACTGGATAACTTCATGCTACTCCTTTAACCTGTTGTTCACGTGCGTCTCATATTACTAGAGCTGCATTCTTCAACTCAGTTAATTCTTCCTGAAATGTGTTCATGTCTCCTACCAAGGCTGCTGCAGTCCAAAAGAATAGACTCAAAATACGTCCCTACCCTGGCTATGGCACTGTTAACAACAGAAGTTAAAGTACTCTGGAAGGAGTTTAGCAGAAAAAATCACAAATGATTGTATCTTTTGGCTTCATGCACTTCTGTAAGATATCAGCTCTCACATACACTCGTGTTTCCATGCATTAGACCTTCAAAAATAAAATGCCCCAATAACTACTTACTGAATATTTGTTGCCCCATGAAAATTCCACCAAATATCCCAGTTTCTCCATAATTTATACTGTAGCCAGCAAGGGACAAATCGATAGAACTTGGGAATGAGAAGGAAACTCAATTTTTGTTCCCTACGTTGGTAAATATTTGTAGCTATTTTTGTGTGTCGTTCGGAGCCCTATTTGAATTTCAATGTGTATCTCTCTCCCAGAACTGGAGATTGTTGAAGGAAACAAATCCTCAATTTGGAAAATTTGACAATATCGGATTACTTGTTAAATTAGGGGGAAAATGTGGAACGTGTGCTAACTATGTGCTTCCAAGACACGTTCCCTGTTTTTGTCGTCCAAACCTGAGGCGAGCTTGGTTACACTAGACGTCAGCATAAAAATTCTCGGAGAGCATCGGAAGGAGAAATTTAATAGTTTTCGGCAGCCTTCACACATGGGCGCAGATTGGCTTATTTCTCTTCCACAATCGCATGACTATCCAGTTGAGAACTGGGGTTACACCGTTTCTGAAAGCCTCTAAGATTGCGCCTACAGTTTCACAGGAAAACCGTTCGTTCCACAATAACTAATGAAACATTTTTAACGTTTGTTGTAAGAAAAATAAAATTTATGAATAGCTTATTCCGCAGGAACGTCTTTGTTGTAAGAAAAATAAAATTTATGAATAGCTTATTAAGTCAGGAACGTCGCCTTGTTTTTTTTCAAAGCTGTTGGAGCAAATGCCACTCTTCAGTGGTATGCTAGCTAAACGTTTCGGGTATTTCTCGAAGTACTCTTTAAAGCGGACACATCAGAAAAGGTCAAATATTCATAATTACTCATATGGATTTAAAAACACCCATTCTAGCCTTCGAAAATAGCCATCTTCATGTAGCTGATTTCCGATATCTTTCTGCCAAGAATCCCGAAATAAACCGATTTCAAATACATCTCACAGGCTTTATCAGTATTTCTGCATGGAATGCATCTTTCAGGCAGGACAGATCTGAACTAAAGAAGAGCAAGATGCTGGATATGGCAATGGTTATTGGTAGACCATTGTAAAGTAAACTTCTGGGAAAACTAAACACA